TTTCTTTTGAGAAGTAATTCTCTAGAAATGATATATATATATATATATATATATATATATATATATTGTAAGGCTTATATTTCTTCTAGAGTTGAACAACTTTCTTACTCAATGCCGTGTAATATGAATAGTCGACTTCAGTTCAAGTATCTGGCATCATACAAGACATGTTTTAATACTCATTTGATAATGCATCATAGTTGCTTTTGAAAAACTCCATGTAAATTTTTATAACTATTGAGATTTGTATCTGCACATTTATTTAAAAATGAGTTTCAGAAATAATTTTAAATGTTAATCATCATTTGGTTTTAAACACAGTGAGTTGTATTCCCATGGAATTGAATATTTTGAGATATACACTACAACAAATCAACCGGATACAGCCAGTATGACAGTGAGAGGTTTTTGAAGAGTATCAAACTGAAAACTACGACGATTTAAAAGATTGCGATTTTTTCTCAGAATTGATTGTTCAGTGAGTGATGATTATATTCATCTTTGTTCAGTTTTTAGTGCTAATTGAACTTCTCAATAAAGTTGCGATTTAGCCACTAGTTTAAACTAATCAACATAATATTTACTACTTTTTTTAATACTAAGTGGTTCAAGGCAGTCACTAGAAGGTTGTAAACGTAGCTTTTGTGTTAGCTGGCAATCATGAGTTGGATGTATTACGGTAACTGGTGCTCCTCTTTTCACACAAGCATAGAATAATATGAAAACATTCTGATAGACGAAATTTCATTTTCAAATCCTTATCATAATACCTATTGTAATCAAATGTATACTGCTAATTATTTCCATTTGTTTAATATTAAGGTATTGAATTTATAAGTCAAACTACATCAGTACTTTCCCTAAATCTCCATAAGTTTTAATGGCAGAAAATGACTTATATGTTGAAGTTTACTGGCTGTATCCATATTCTGAACACGATTTAAACTCGTTGAGAAAACGGATAAAAATACTTTAGAATAATGAGCATAATGTTCATTAACACACGACTGAGTCATAAGTTGTTTTGTAAGTTATCACGACATATAGGAAAATAACACTAAATACTCCAAGTACACATTCGGATTCATGAACTAATTTAAGTTGAAATGAACTAATTAACATGACATTACTGATGTGTGTGCGCAACTTTGTAAATAATCGGTGTTATTAAAGTAAAACAAGTATCCTCTAATGCTTTTAAATTTAGTTCAGAATTCCATCAGAGAAAGTAACACAACAAAAAAAAGAATGTCAATTGTCTAAAACCATAATCAATAAACTTGATCACAGTGCATGATTTTATTATCTCAGAGAACAAAACTCAAACTTAATCATCCACCTGAGCTACGAATCTTCACCATATCAAAGTACCTAATTTAAATGTTGTGTACAGTTCTGTTTATACAAAACTAATATTTAATACATATCCAGTACAAATATACTATTGGTCAATGTTGTCACCTCCTGGAAATGTAATCTTTTAACTATTTAAACCTGACAATACAAAACGATTTTAAGGTGATAGATGAAAACTAGTTCATGGTTTGAATTATTTTTTCTGGTAAGCAACAACTGCCAACTAATTTCAAAGTGAGAATCTTCAATACGAACATCAAGACAGTCCTACTGTACGGAGCTGAAACGTAAGGAACTAATACATCCATTGTCAAGAAGGTACAATTATTTATAAACAGTTTTCTATCAAAATACTCAACATTCACTGACCCGATACTATCAGCAACAGCGTTTTACAGCAGAGGACAAACCAGCATCCAGGTGAGGAGGAAATTAGGAAAAGACTTTGGAATTGGATAGGGCATACATTGAGGAAATCACCAAACTGCATCACGAGGCGATCCCTAACTTGGAATCCGGAAAAGAAGTGAAAAAGAGGAAAGCCAAAGAACACATTACGCCAGTATTTCCAGGTTTTCCATGGTGGTCTAGCTCCAATTGACACATGATTTCAACCATATAAAAATTACTAAAATCTCCACAAAACTCTCACTGACAATATTTCTTTTGTTAAACCTATTTTTGTATATAAATGAATCGGAAACAAATTATAATTTATAATGTCTAATCATAAAACACAACAAATGGAGTAGTTGAATATATTTTACTATGAGAATATTAAAATAAATACATTTTCAAACTATTCTATATTAATAAATGTGGATATAGGATTTGTGTTGGTTCCTGTCCCGTGTACTAGTAATTTTATAATTAGTCACTCTTATCAAATACCAATACCAAACAGAGGGATATACAAAAAGCAATCGTTGCTTAGTGTGATAATACACACTCATAAGGAAAATGTTAACAAAAGGAATTCATTAAAACATTCGGTGTAACAGAAAGAATTCATGCTATGAAATTTCAAGATTGTGTAGCGAACTACTTTTCCTTAATGTTTGTGGCCAGTGTATTCTTTCTTGTTAACTCATTGAAAAGAATTTTTATCAGAAAAGCCTAAATGTTAAATCGTATCCACGCACATCAAGATGTGAATAACCATAGTATAAACCTGTGGATTCTCTATACTAAGGTCTCTGAGATTGAAACAAAACAGTCTTCTGATATTCTCCAAAAATTACATTCATTAAGTTGACCTTATCCCTTGATAAAATGATCTTAATTTCAAGTATGTATATAATGAACAAATTAACATCAATTTTAAAACTAAGTTTACTTTAAATTCATTTAGTATTGTTTGTTTGAATCTTCCCATAGATGTGTTAGGACTGCAACTAGTCAGTCTCTAATTGGCATATGTCCATACTGTGCGCATTGCCCCGATATAGTCCCAAGTAGGACGAAACGCGCGTCCTAGATTCCACTGCTAGTCACTATCCATCTTTGCTCATAAGTTTACTTTATTTGAAAATAAAGTACGTAAATTTCATTCATAAAAAAGTATTTTTATAACTATAGACAATCATAGTCTATCTCAAACAAACTTGTACTTTTAACCGAATTCAGAGTTTACACAAGACACGAACGGTAAAAGCTAAATAAACATGAATATCTTAATAGAATGAAATAAGCTGTTCAAAAGCTGTTACCAAAATTATATGATATATATATATATATATATATATATATATATATATATATAAAGTCCTATTTGTGTGATAGTTCAAGCTCATACCATTTATGTTCTAAAGTAGACTGCATGTACACTAAACCTACTCTAGTAATGTAAAGTGATGTGATTCATATTATCTTTTTAACATAATCTGTGTCATTATTATCTTCCATTCCGTCTAGTTTTAACCTTATTTTTTATATATTAATATCATAATAAGTAAATAAGTGATCAGGTTATTCGAAATGCATTACGCTTATAAAATACATAGTCTCAATAAACTTCTTTTCATTAAATGATTGAAAACTTACTCATAATCATATCATAATACAGATAAGATTATTTCTAAAGATTTTTATTCAAGAAACAATACGAAAATAGGTACTAAAGACTTTGTGAACAATACAGTGGTTTATACCATCCAAAGAAAGAAAATATGTTCTTTCATGGTTAGTGAACACGCAAAACAAATCCAATTATCTTTTGAAATACAAATAAGTAGTTTCTATTATATTTCATTTTTATGTATGAAAGCTTTGTCTAATTAGAATTATATGGATTTTTATTCATCTAAGCTTCAGATATCTGTTGTATATCTTTATTATCTCACAAAAATTCTAATCGTTGGAGCATCACTGAATCTGGCAATGAGTAATCTATTAATACACAACAGACATTAAAACTTGGAATTGTCATAGTTAAGAATACCTCAATACCGTTTTCTTGTTTACTAAACTTTCATTTCTTTTCATGAAATGAAGTGGCATTTATTTTTCCATTTATAAGTATAACAATTTTGTATTTACAATTTATTCTATTCACTGATAATTACTGATTAGGTTACGTGGTAACAAAACTTTTTAACAATATCTCCCAATGATTCATTTATCATTTTTTGGTTCCAGAAGAAGAGACTTTAATTTACTCCACATAAGTGTCAATATTTCTTCAAATAGAATAAGGCATTAGATGATTTTTTCATGATGATCTTATCTACAGGACAATACATGTTATCAAGACATTTTTAAGTTAAAAAAAAGCAACCACTTCACCTAAATTATAGAAGTAATGATATTCTAGGTAAGTTATGTAATCAAACGATTACTTAATAAGATTACTAGGTGATCTATATGGATTATCTATATCGATTTTATCTTTCAGATATAATCAGTATTGCTAAGCAACATCTTATTTAAAAAGAAAAAAAGTATTATTTTAAACCAAATAAAGGCGAAAAAAGATGTAATAATGTAATAATGTCAATGTCAAGAAAAGAGTTCATATCAAAAACCAAATAGATGATTAACATATTTTCAATGAAATACATTTTTTTATGAATCAACTATGAAATAATCATCTTTTTCATGATAGTTTAGTTATCATACGATCAAATTATATTTACACTATGACCATTACAAACTATAGATATCTAAGCAAAGATGGATATATATCGAGGCAATACGCAGAGTATACGCATATGCCAATTAGAGACTGACCAGTTGCAGTCCTAACACATCGATGGGAAGATTCAAACAAACAATACTAAATGAATTTATAGATATCTAATATTGAAAATGAATTTATTTCTATCACTAAGATATCAGTCTTCAAATTGTATTTTAATGACATGAATATATAGAATATTTGATTATGGAATCACTTCAAAAGGTCATCTGAAATAATCAATTGGTTACGTCATACGTTATATTGTCATTCTGGAATAACTTACAGTTTATCATTACTACATAATTAAGATTTAGAGGTAAACAATTGTTAACTTGGGTTCGGTGATGTAGTGGTTATCATGTCTGCTTTACACGCAGAAGGTCCCCGGTTCGAACCGTGGTCGAACTCAAATTGTTAACTTAAAAATTTAAATAAAACAACCATCTAATTAATATAAATAACTAACCTTATTTTTGTTTTAATTCCAATGAATTTGATGAACTACAATTCAATGTATAATGATAGAAATTTTTGAAGAAAAAATACATTTAAAAAGATACTAGATAGTGTATGTTTAACATTTGATATTCCATTTGAATATTATGCAATCATAAACTGAAAACACATATTTCTGGTACTATTTTGGATATTGTCTTTTGTATGAAAATCACTTTTAATTAGTGGTTTCTGGTTATTTTATTAAAGTTATACAATAATCAGTGACTGATTAAACAAATTATTATTCTTCCTTATACTAGCCAATCATATTTTGTAAGTAGATTTCATTAGCTCATATATATTTTTTTCTTTTCTGACAATTGATTGGATAGTTTGAATGATGTGTCTTGTTTTAATATAGTCAACTTGTTAAATCTAAAGCACTCTGAACTCTTATGACTAAGTTTGTCAATTGTGTGTCTTTTATTCATGTGAGATTGTATAAATAGTTACCATGGCAACGTGATTATAATTGGTTCTCTTGAATGTTCGATTTGAAATATGAATTTCATTTCTGACACATTTTAATATTAATAATAATATTGACTAGATAACAGATGATTTCTCTTTCCCAGCTTTTTAAACATAAATAATGTTGTGAAATTCAATTAGTCTTTTACTCAATTAACTCATTTTCAATCTGCTCTTAAGTTGAGATTATGTCCAAATTTTATGCTTCAATTATTTTGTATCGAGTTTAAAAATATAAATGCAGTTTGTGAGATAATCCTTGAAGTAGGTAGAACTGTTTTCTCTTTTATTTCAAAAGATAAGTTTCTGGGTTTTGGAATTACGATTGCTATTATTTAACTTATGCTAATAACCTAGGAAATCTAATATAATATTGCTGACTCACCACCATATGAGTACTTAATCTGCATCATCTCACTTCGAATTCGCATTATTGTCCTCTATAACCTACTCTAGAATGGTTATCACAGTTTACTGGTTTATAAGCACTTTGGGAGAACAAATGGAATTTTACTGAACACTTTTTTAATGTGATGACTAAGGAATTATACAAAGTGATCATGCCTGCATGGCTCGGCCCATGCATTCTCGAGGGTGTTCATGTTTCGATCTTCTTTGACCTTCAAAACTTTTCAATTACTGTTCAACGTCCAAAAGCAGAAATTATGAGGTATAGTATACTCAATTTGAAGGGTTCAGGATTGTTCCACTATCACTACAAGCTCGTAATTGATCACGAATATAGAAATTACTTCTCATTATTGAGTCTGGAAAATTATCCAAGAAACAAATTTCATTCGCATCAAGAAACTGTTCAAAACTACAACAACGACTCAGGAAATTTTTTTAAAATTGATATACAAATTTTAAGTCTCTGTATTGTGGTGCAAATTATATGCTCAAATTATAATTTAATATCTTTAACTTATAATAATGATCTAACAACGTACATTCATAAATGACTTCTAAGTAAACTGTTTTGTTGCTATGATCAAACCTTTCCGTTATCATATATTTAAAATAAGCCTTAAGATTAATTAGGCCGTTGTAGAAAACCAAACATCGATGTTACTGATCTTGATTGTAACCGCCACTAATGCAAGAAAGAAAATCTGAAATTATCCATACATGATAATCACATCAAAATTACCATTGCTTTGGAAAGATATAGTGACTTTTGATTGTTGACCCCAAGAATCTGTAAAGAATCTACCAACATATAAACGAGAATATGAATTCTAGAATACTTATCTGATTTCTAAAATCTTGTCTATAAATTTAATTGAAAGTCGGAATAAATTCCGGTTTGAATGACTTATAATAGGCATTTCAACAAAAATCTACAATTACCTATCTTCTTTTCAATATTCTATTATGTTAATTAGGTTGATACCAGAGTTTACTAACAGTATTCTACCATGACTTTTAATCAGTATCATTTTATAGCTTGAAGCTATCAGTCGTACAGTGGTAACTATGATGACCTCAGATTCCTGTGTACATTATATTTACTATGATCTGATGAAATGTAAATGTTTGTGCTCCACGTGACTACACAGTAACTTGAAAAGAATGGCATGTTTTGTTTCCATAATGTTTTTAAACAATAATTTCATCTTTAAAATATCTCTACAGATTTATTCAAGAGTTTTGTACACCAATTACAGTTTAAAAATTTGCTCATCACTATGGGATTATTGACTGTTGAATTTCAGAGAAATCACGAACCCATCTACGACTTAGCTCCACTAGTCAAGGATTCTTGCAAAAGGTCTGTGTCGAATGTAAGGCAGGTACCCACCGAAGACAGTGGAAGATGGATGTGCAATATGGTGAATTGTTTAAAGTTGGACTTGTGAACCACTGGATCCCAGGTTAGTGATATAGAGTTGAAGCGTTCGCGCGGGATCTACTATCTTGGGTTAGACTGCCGGGCTCGGGGTCGTGTATACGCACTTCCAAGGGCTCCTGTACTAAGATGAAACGATTACCTAGATTCCTCTCCTTCTTATTGGTTTTTTAACTTAACATGATTCATGATTTCAGGGAAGTCATTATTCTACTGTTAACAGAGTTACGTTTTGATCATACGTTGTCACGTCGATTTCGAATGCCTTATCACTGATTACGAATATCAACAAAGTAAGAAAACAAAATATGGATATACATCTTCAAGATACCTTCAGTAGACCTTGGTGAATTCAAATGCGAAAAACATTTCTTGATGTAAAGATTAAAATCCTTCACTATTAGTACTGAACAAACGGACTTGTAGACTGAGCAGACTTTATAAAGAATAGTGAATTATAGATTTTTCACTATAATGTTTCAGGAACTTTATGTTTTCTAAATACCGCATACAATGGGTGATACTAACTGAAAGACATCTGCCATCATATTGTTTAGAATGAAACTTGTATTTGAATTTAATATAGTACTGTTACGCAGCTTGATAAGTTGAAAGAAATGCAACTGTCAGCAACCGAGCTGTCGGTACCCTGTGGAAAGCGGTATGCAGCTGGATGAGCGCAAAGGATGGTACTATAGTTTGGAGTCAGACTTTCGGTAGTAACGACTCATGTTCTCTAAATGCAACTTATGTTCATTCATCGCATTTGTACTCAGAAGTCGTCGTTCATCTTTTTTTCAACGACGACCTAAATTGAACTTCAGAAAAAACGCAATTTAATCAAGAAGTATTAGACGAGCACGAACGAATGTTTTTCACTTGGAATTCAAAATCAAACAATCACCAATACAAGGTAATCATTGATTCATTCAAACGGCACAATATCATGGACTGACGTATGCGGTGATGGTCTCACTAACTTCTCTGTACGCATTCTTACCAATATATTTCTATAATAATGTCATTTGTGTTATTCGGTTTTCAAAGCAGCCATAGTACTACAATACGTCAAAGGGGTAATCTACGTTAGATACTGACCGCGAGGTGTGACTTTGAAGTTAGCTGGTTCATCATACCGTTTCCGTCTAACTAGAGCAGGCCTCTAATCATTCGACAGACATCATCAACGCTGATGGTCTACAAAGCCTTGTATTTTGGGGGAAGTAGTCCTATTGCCAAGTAATAATACGCACCCAAATGATTCACATTAGCTTTAGAATTGACCTTAATAACTCAAAAGACATTTGACGGTTGAATCATCTTTAGCTTGATAATAACCCTATTCTTTTCCTAGGGATGGCGACGTTCACCATACATACATGTCTTATTTTATTTTCCTGTTTTTCTGTGCCTACGACCTTGTGTGTTACTGTGTGGCTGACACTCACTAACTGATCCAATGCCTGCCTTTTTGCCATGCCTCGAATCTTAAGTCTTCGGCTATATTGATTCTTGAAACGAGTAATACATGTTTTGGCATGTTTGCTTTTAACGATCTAATTCCTTGTTTCCTTTCTCTTACTGTCTTTCTGTGATAACTAGTGCATAAGATTGTTGTGGCTTTACATCACTAATCGTTCATCCCGCTAACCGTTATAATATAAATTTCAACGGTGTTTGAAATCAGAAGGCAAGGTGAAGTGATAACTACAGTTTATGATCGTATAGCGCAGATCACAAAGTTGTAAGCACATCAAACGAATTTGGTGCAGAAAGGCAAATAATTATATACGTGCAGTTACATAGGCAACCTTATAGTCAAATTGTATAAGGGCGAAGCAAGGCAAAGCTAATAATAGGATTTCAGTACTTATATATATGGGGAACAGGATGGGTCATCGAGTGAAATTTAAGCAATCAACATTTTAGCTAGTCTATCATATGCTCTAGTGGTTATAACGGTACAAAAAAATATGCGAATTGGTACTGTTCGAATAATATTGTGTGTTAAGTTAATAAAAGGGCTTAACCAATATTACCCATAGTCGAAATTGGTTGTAGGGTAGTTGCTATAAAATAAACATATCACAACTACATTCTCTTATCTGACTTATTGTAATCCACTTTTCTTCAATGTGAATCAGGTCAATAATTAAATAATAGGGTAGACTTACTTACTTACTTACTTTCGCCTGTTACTCCCAATGGAGCATAGGCCGCCGATTAGCTTTCTCCAACCCACTCTGTCCTGGGCCTTCTTTTCTAGTTCTTTCCAGTTCTTGTTCATTCTTCTCATGTCTGTCTCTATTTCTCGGCGTAATGTGTTCTTTGGTCTTCCTCTTCTCCTTCGACCTTCAGGATTCCATGTGAGGGCTTGTCTTGTGACACAATTGGGTGATTTCCTCAAAGTGTGCCCAATCCACTTCCAGCGCTTCTTCCTGATTTCTTCCTCCGCTGGAATCTGGTTTGTTCTCTCCCACAGTAACTTGTTGCTGATAGTATCTGGCCATCGGATCCGAAGTATCTTGCGTAGACAGCTGTTAATAAACACTTGCATCTTCTGGATAATGGCTTTCGTAGTTCTCCACGTCTCTGCCCCATGCAGAAGAACTGTCTTGACATTTGTATTGAAAATTCTAACCTTGGTGTTGGTTGACAATTGTTTTGAGCTCCAGATGTTTTTCAGTTGTAAGTATGCTGCTCTTGCTTTGCCGATCCGCGCCCTCACATCTGCATCTGATCCACCGTGTTCATCAATGATGCTGCCCAGATATGTAAAGATTTCCACATCCTCCAAAGCTTCTCCGTCAAGTGTAATTGGATTGGTGCATATTGTATTGTATCGGAGAGTCTTGCTTTTCCCTTTGTTTATATTGAGACCTACTGCTGCTGAGGCTGCTGCTACACTGGTCGTTTTCTCCTGCATTTGTTGTTGCGTTTGTGATAGAAGAGCCAGATCATCCGCGAAGTCTAAATCGTCAAGCTGCATCCTGCCTGTCCACTGTATCCCGTGCATTCCTCCAGATGTTGACGTCTTCATAATCCAGTCGATCACCAGGAGAAAGAGAAAGGGTGAGAGTAGGCAACCTT